GTTAGTATGATATAAAAAATCTTTTGAGTGAATGTGCATTTGCAGAATATAGAATGTGCATTTAGCACTAATGATTTCATACAGCCAAGACAAAAATGTGCATTTAGGGAGATATTGCATTTATAGAGATTGCATTTAGGTCTGACTGTATATAGAATAAATAAAAACTACTAATTATAATGAATATGGAATAGCCTATTCTTTTAGATTGTTACCAAATGCTTATATAATATGAAACCAGCAAAGTATAGTTCCATGTACAAGTCTTTTGACTCCAAGTTTAGTAGGTTTATATTTGTTAATCATCATATAAGGATTCTATATTTGATTATTGCAGTTACAAATTCTTTTAAATCTATTGTTATTTGGAAGATCTTTATAATACCATGAATATTCATATGTAGATTTGCTACAGGGTATATTTTGTTTAACCACATTTATTGCTAGTCATATTGACCAATTATTTTCTTTATTACTCAATCCTATGATTAATTGTAAAGTGATTAGAAGTATTAATTTTGTTTAAATAAAAAAGAATTAAACAAATATACTAAATGCTAATGGAGTTTTATGTTTTGCACTATTTTCCACAACTATAGTTAGGACTAGAGTATGATCAATATTAAGATTGTATTTTCTATCAATGCTAAAACAAAGTTGTCCAAAATCTCTCTATTTTATAACCAGAATTCATCAGACACGGTTAATTGGTAATAACATTTAGCAGAATTTTTTGGTTTTGATAAATCTGGCTGCTGGTAGTATAAAACATAACTTTAGATTTTAAAATTTCTTCAACCAAATAATGAAGAACCGTCCATAGATTCATATAATCTTTTAATCTTCTGTTATCACAAATAATAAATCTCTCTGACTTTTATTATCACAAATTTCTCTGCTATTTAATAATGCTTCATTTAAATCTCCTTATTAGTGCTATTTAATAGATACAATAATTTGTCTTTTATAGCTTTTATTGTCTGATGATCTGCACAATGATTGGTAATAATCTGGTCTCAGACCTAGCATATTAAATTAATTTTTGTAATTTGTAGAACACTAACATTTATCATATTAGTAAGATAATGTGTTGCTTCTATTTTAATATGAAGCTAGTGATTTGAGTTGAGATATGATAATCATGAAAAAAGTGAACCCAAACAGAACAGTGATGTATATCATTTTTATTTTTTAGATTATTTGGTAAATTAAAATTTGAATATTCAGATATACATTCTCCAATACTGCCACACTGATGCTTACAAGTTTTTCATTACTAGCATAATACATAATCTATGATCAACATAGCTATCCTTTTTAAAATTGGCTTGAATTTGGTTAATATATTCTTAACCTTTATCAGTAAGCTTTACAATATTATCAATACGGTTTGTTGATTTTTGATTTTCTAAAGCCATTTATTTTGTAAAATCTACAGCACTATCTACATGATTAAGTTTAATTAATTCATCACAAATTAATTGTATTGTTTTTTACACAGCTTTGAGACTTTAATTGCATATTTTTTAAAAGTGGATGTTAGAGTAAATACCACTCAGTTGTTTGTCCAAAAGAAACTAAAACTAAGTTATCATTATTGTAAATAATTTGGTTTTCAACTATTTATATAAAAAAAATAAAATATATGAAAATTGGTTTTAAAGATAAAGTTTTTATTATATTCTCTTTTATTTTTCGCTTTAACTTTATTAACTTACATTATCTAAAATTAAGTTTATTAAACTATTTATTTGTTATTATAATATAATATATAACACATGTGTTACATGTATTTATTATTTTTTACTTTGATTAACTATTGATATATGTATAAATATCATACATATATATATATCTGAAACATGATATCATAATATCATATGTACTACATATATCATGTGATTATTTACTTTTGGTATCAAAAAAGTATATAGATTTCAGGATACATCTAGGAGTATCAAAAAAGTAGACACAGAAGTATCAAAAATGTAGGTTTTGCATTCCAGGCAGACAGTCTACATATATATACTAATTGCATATACCTGACTTTAGGGTAAGTATATTAGCATATAACAGATTTTTAGGTTTATACTATAAATTACTATGCAAAATATCCCCTTGTTATATATCCCCTTGATTTGTACTGGGTATGTTTCAAGGTTATTTTATATGGTAATTTGTAAGAGACCCAGAAACAAATCAAAGATTAACTATAACGCTACCTTTTTTGCTTTGTAAAGCTAGAAATTGGGGGTTTTTATTTGAAAATATTAGCTTTACTAAAATCTGCCTATATACTTTTATTAAAAAAAAAAATAAATAGGCCAATTTCTAGCTTTGGTTACAGCATTAGTTGTTTTGCATATTTAAAATTATATAAATATTAGGTGTCACTAAAAAAAAACAAATTGCTAGCTTTAGTTTATCATTTTATCAGAACATTTTTCTTCTGGCATCACATATACCGAAATTAACCAACTTAATATATATAACTTGCGTTTCAGGTTTAATAGTCAAGATTGAACAAGAAAAATAAAGATACTAATGATTGTATTAAAAACTTTCAAATTATTAGTGCTGGTAAGTTTATTTAAACCTTCTATAAATTTATAATTAGGTTATTCAACAACTCAGTGATTAACAAACTTTTTCATTTCATTCTGGATATAATAATATTCAAATGACTCTTGGGATAAAATGTTTGAAGAGTTTAATTGCTAGAGCATAAAGCTTTGCTGGGGTGAGAACAGAGGTTGCTGAGATGAAAAATTCTGGTGCAGCAAAGAGCCTTGTTGAGGTTGTTGGGATGAAAAATCTTGGTGCATGAAAAGCCTTGTTGGGTAAAAATGGAGGTTGCTGGAATGAGAGATCCTAGTGTAGTGAAAAGCCTTGTTGAGGTAGAAAGTATTGCTGGAACGAGGAACCTTGCTGAAGTAAAAAATGTTGCTGAAGCAGAGGGTATTGTTGAGATGAAATATATTGTTAGAACGGAAAGCCTTGTTGAGTAAATGATTTTGTTAAAGTGAAAGGCTTTGTTGAGATAAAAAATATTGAAATGAGTGATCTTGGTGATGTGGGAAGTATAGTAGAAAACCTTGTTGTGTTGCAGTTATATAATTAAATGCTTCATCATTACTAAAAATAAATTCATCAGCTTCGCAGCCTTCAACTTTATCATAATCGAAAACTAAATTTTCTTCTGATCCATCAGTTAAAACTGATATACCACAACATTTGAAAGAATGTTTAATAAGCTGGGTATCAACAGCATTCCACGCATGTTGAATCTATTTTGCAACAACATTGTATAGTGGGTGTTTTATTCAACCAGATGCTATTAATTCTTTGATTTCTTGTGACATCCATTCATTATATAAAGATCTAATCTATTGATAAGAATAAAAAATCTTTATGAAAGTGTTTAAGAATGCCTTATTAAAGAAAAAAATAATAAAAAAATAAAAACTAAAAAAAGAATAAAAAAAAAGAAAAAAAAAAAAAAAAAAAAAAAAAAAAAAAAACCTTTGTCTTAAATGATTTATTAATTGATACATCAAGAGATTAAATTTTTGATGTTAATCCCTCAGAAATGATCGTAATATTAGTATTTTTTTTAAGGTGATTATTTTTAATAGAAAAAACCAAATAAACCTGAAAAGAATCCATTACTAATAATGATCGTGAGTTTTTAGTATTTGGTATATGATTTTGCCAAATTTTTTCTATCCAATACTCTATTTCTACTTTATTTATCCATCCTTTTTCATTGGCTCTAACTATTACACCTTGTAGAAACTCAAGCTGTGGGATATTTTTTAGTTTAAAAATAATTATTAGAGGTAATTTTTAACCATCCGCCATATATGCAAGTACAACTATGAAACAAGATTTTTTATAACCACAAGTTCTAATACTAATAGTTTTACTTCTCATATTATTAATAGTATATTGTTTGGCATATCAAAAACAAGAGGGTTTCATCCATATTACCCATTAGTGATAATGGGTAGTACTAGAGGTGATGATATTGAACAAAATTTAAAAATTCCTACCATTGTACTTTCAAATCTGCAGGTAGTTTCTGCGTGACAGTTGTTCTACAATAGTTACTAAAATTATGACACCGTAAAAAACCCTCAAGCTACTTAGTACTCCATTTGAACTGATTAATATTTGGATATTGGAGATAGTATTTTTGTAATTTTGCTAAAACATCAGCTTTAATTTGTACCATATGATAACTAACAGGTTTTAACTTATTATGCAAAACTCGAACCCAGTTAGCGAGTTCTGCTTCAAGATCAGGATAATTAGGTTTTGCACCACTATTAAGACATTTTACACTTGGTTGGGCTATTATTATCTCTTCTTGTTTGGCTCACCATTCTCTAATTTGTTTTGGCTCACCATTCTCTAATTTGTTTTGGTTGAACTTTAAAATGATCGGCTGTTTCACATATAGTAGCTCCTGGGACTTTTTCTAGGTAGGTAATTATAAAAAGCTTTTCTCAAGCTGTACATTGTTGATTTCTTTTTTTGTCAAGTCTTGTATTTAAAATGTGTTCAAAATGTACCATAATCAAAAAAGGTTTTTAAAAAAGGTTTTTTTAAAAAAAATTTTTTTTTTAAAAAAAGGTTTTTTAAAAAAGGATTTTTTTAGAAAAAATTTTTTTTAAAAAAAAAGGTTTTGATATTTCAGATTTCAGGATCTTAGATACTTAAATATTATGCAAAAAAAAAAAAAAAAAAAAACAAAAAAACAACCAAAAAAAATCAAAAAAAAAAACAACTAAAAGAAGGTCAAAAAAAAAATTGCCGACATTCAACTCTTCAAATATGGCATTTATTTGCTTAATCCTTTTAATATCATCTGAAGTGTTTACTACATTACATGTCTTCTTTATAAATATTAAAATGCTACATGTGGTATTGAAAATTTTCAGCTATGGTTAATATTTAACGATAAGCCATACTAAAGTATCTTTCGCTTTATAAAACGTAAGAAATTGGATTGGGTATTTTATAAGGTAGTTATTTCTATTTAATGCACCCTCCTTACCAAGACCCCCGCATGATATACCCTGTACCACACAATATACCCGGGGGTATAAATCAAATTTTTTAGCACGTGAATTATAACATACCCGGGTATTTTGCATGGTAATTTACGGTAATAGGTACGTGCAAAATCGCGTGAATTGGTACGTGTCCGTAGACCGTCCGCTACCCCAGGATCGCCAACCCAACAAAATTACTAAGTAATTTTTACTGTCCGTGATGATCGACGAAAATAAGTCAATAATGAAGTTCGATTTGGTGTAACGTTACACGATCAGAAATATACAAAACAAACGTTCGTTTTGTCCAAAATCGCTTATAACTCAAAATCTGCATAGGAAACCACCTCCTGCGCATTAACAAAAAGTTTTTTTGAACGATTTTTCAATTAAAACCTACTAAATTAGTCCTAAACCTAGCATAAACGAACTTAAAGAATTTTGTCGTATATCACGTGACAGTAAAAATTTTGTTGGCGCACCTGGGGAAGATCTGATATTTGTTTATAGTCACACCTCTATACAATCACCACATTAGGGCGCGACGGGCTTGGTGATTATATAGAGGTCTGACTGTAGTTTTTTTTTTTTCAAGAAATGTCTCTGTAACTTTGTTTGTAGTGATGAAATACTGGTCTTTGCAAAATTTTGACCAAATCTATTAAACCGTTAGGACTATGCATCTATTTAAATTTTTATTATAATTATTATAAAATTATTATCTGTCGAAAAATCTTCATTAATAAATTTTATTATATGACTACATATAGTTTTCATTGACATAGTATACCGACCACCTAATATCACATGTATTTTTCAAGAATGTCTATTATATTCAAAGAATGGTTTATGTCTATGTTGAAAAGGTTAACTCACACATAAGTCAAAAAAGAATTTGCATTTAATACATGTATGTTTTATCGTGCTATAATTATTATAGGCGGTGTATTTGAGTGTTAATTAGTAATGGGCACCGCCAGCATTTTAATATGATTCCCAAAATTCAGATCAGTCATAATTTTGTCCAAAATGCCTTATATGCATGGTCTTCGGTCTTAAGACCTGTTCGAACCGGTCTTTTTGAATAATTAAAATATATTATCAATTATTTTCGATAAATTTTATAGCAACTAGCAAAAAATTGACCGAATTATTGTTTAGCTAATTCTATGAGTTTTTGATTCGGCAATTATAAACTTGTGGTTTGGTGTGATCAATATATATATATATATATTTTTAAAACGTAGCACTACAATATTAAGTTTTCGCTTGAATGCATATCTAATTTGTTTGTATTTAGTCTATAGAAAATTTATTGCGAAGACTGTTTTTGTTATTGTAACCATCGTTGGGCGTGCTTATATTAATCATTCTAAGTTTAACTCGCATATCGTAAATGTGTACAAGGTTGGCGGCGAAGACTAAATTCTTAAAATTCGTTAAGGTTAGGGTTAGGGTCA